GTTTTATTTATTTATTTTTAGAGGGAAAGGAGGGAGAGGGAGAGAAACATCACTGTGTGGTTGCCTCTCATGAGCCCCCTACTGGGGACCTGGCCTGCAGCCCAGGCATGTGCCCTGACTGGGAATTGAAGTGGTGACCCCTTGGTTCACAGGCCAGCACTCAATACACTGAGTCACACTAGCCAGGGCCAAATTTTTTTCTTAAAAATAAGTCAAATTATACAATGGTTCCCTGTAAAAGATAAGGTTATTGGTGACATTTTCCCCCTGGCTTCTTTCCAAATATTCTACACTGAGTAGGTATTATCTGAATAAACAAAGAAAAAATAAATTACAACACCCCCACCCACCCAAAGGTGTTGTTGCCACAGCATTCACGGAGTAGGGACTGTCCCCTTTTCCCCCAAGGCTGCTTTGTGTGGCTTGTTTGTAACCCTCACCCAAGCATATGTTTATTGATTTTAGAGAGAGAGGGAGGAAGAGAGAGAGAAACATCGATGTGAGAGAAGCATCCATCGGTTGTCTCCCCTACACACCCCGACCAGGGATTGAACCCACAACCTAGGTACGTGCCCTGACCGGGAATGGTACCCATACATTCTGATGCACAGGATGATGCTCCAACTAAGTGACCCACCCGGCCTGTGTGGCTCTTCCCTTTCTCTGCACGGCCCCCACCCCATTGCCCTCTTTAGATGTCCTCCCGCTACAAAGCCAGAATGTAAATGAATACGCTTGGAAAACACAAGGAAGCTTGGTCCTGATCTCAGCCTCCTGCTGGCAGGAGCCTGGGCTCCTATGGCTTAGACACTGAGACGCAGGGAGGAGACGGGAGGGGAGAGCCGTGGGGGAGTTTTCCTGAACTCTGCGGGGCAGGAACAGAACATATGTCATTTCCAGGCCTGGATTATCCCGTGCTTCTCACTGGTGGTGTTATTATTTCAAAATGTTCAGGCCCATAAGTTCCTGCCAACTCCTCTAATAAGGAAGCGCCTATCCCGTCCCCATGACAACCCCCAGCGCGCGCTCTCTCTCTCTCTCTCTCTCTCTGTCCCCCTCTTTCTGCTCACCCAGGATTCTCTCTACCCACCAGAGAAAGAGGGTAGATGTGAAGCTGAGGGAAGGACTGCAGCCTCCACAGATGCTGGCAGGAAAGGCGCTTTCTGGTCTGTGCTGGAACATGGCAGAGATCCAGGATGGGAAGTGGCGGGGCTGAGGCTGATGGTTAAACCTTGTTCTGCATGTGGGTGTAATCTCAACATCCAGGGATGCAAAAACTGGAGTCTCCACAGACCTGCTCATCTTCTAGTAAGAGGAGACTCTGCAGAAAGCAAGGGGAGGTGGAGGCTGGGAGTCTCAGTGGGAGGAAGGTGTGTGTGTTTTAGGGAATGAGATGGCGTGGAAGGAGAGCATGGTTTGGGGGTGGGAGATAAGGGTTCAAATCCCAGATCTGCTCTCTCCTTGCTGGGCAACTTAGTTGAGCCACTGCCCTCTCTGAGCCTCAGCTTCCTCTTCTGTAACTCACAGAAATAGGTGAGGATCCCTGCCCTTTTCTTTCTTTCTTTTTTTCTCCCTGTCCGTTTCTACAGCCAGGTGACTGAGGATGTTTCCTGGCCTATAAAATCAGGATCCTGATACCTACACTTCATCGAAGGAAAGGTGAGTCCAGCCTTCTAATCCCAACAGACAAATGCCACCCATATGGGACCACACTCCTCTCCTGCTTCATCTCAGCACTCTCACCTCTCACGGAGGCGCCCACCCACCCACCCCACCGCTGTGCCTTTTCTCATTCCGTTTCCTCTGCCTGGATTCCCCTTTCTTGTTGGGAGTAATCACTTGTCATCTCACCTCCTCCAGGAAACTTTCTTTGATTCCTTGCCAACTGGCTGAGTTAGGTGCCACTCCCCTGGGCTCCAGTATCATGGGCATACGCCGTCGTCGTCTTTGCCCTCAACAGCCAGCAGTTACAGCCAAAGTTTACTGAGCACTTCCTAAGTGCCTGGCCCTCTACCACACCCTCTACCCAGCATGATCAAGTTGAATCCCAAACAGAGCCACGGGAGGCAGGTGCTGTGTTTACCCCCATTTTCCTGATCAGGACACTGAGCCTGAGGGAGGTGAAGGCAAGGGTTGAGGGTGGCGTGTGAACCCAGGGCAGTGTTATTCCAAAGCCCAGTGGAAGATTTGCCGCATGGTCTGTCTGCCCACCTGCCCCGCTGAACACAGGCTTAGTTTTCTGTTTAGAGGTCAGTCTAGGCCTTCCTCGCACCTCACCGATGAACACCTGGAGTGCAGTGCTGAGATGTGAGGCTCCACCCCACGCTGCCAAATCGGAGTCCCAGGAGGGGCAGAATCCGATCGCACATTTTCAGGTCCGTGCAGTCGGGGCTTCCCTCTTGCCCCTCAGCCTTCCTCCACCCTCCCTCGCTCTTGCGAGTGTAGGAGGAGCCAGGACGCCAGGGCCCCTCCCTGGGTGTAGCACATCAATATCTGCCTGGGGTCATGTTTAGTCCAAGTGAAAGGACCTCCACTTAGAGGTCATGGTCATGTGCCCAGCATGGAGCAGCCCTCCTCGGACTTTAGCTCACGGAATTCTCACAGGACCCCGTGAGGAAGACAGGGGTATAACTTCCACTTTACAGATGCGGGAAACTGAGGCTCTGCTGACATCACAGAACAAGGGGGTGGAACCAGAAGTGATCTCAGGGTTGCCTGACCTCGATACCCTCCGGTTTGCCCACTGCCTCCTTCCTGTTGCGGGCAGAGCCTTGCGGGCGCAGATCCCTAGAGGATGAGAACTGTGATTCATCTCTGCACCTGCAGTGGGTCAGTTCGACACCCACGGCACCGTGAGGCCAACTGTGGAAGTCTGGGCTTGCGGCAAGCCCAGAAGCTGTTTATGGGCAGAGATCTGAAGGGCAGATTGTCATCCCCACCTTGCAGATAAGGAAGTTGCAAAAAGTAGGAAAGTTGCCCAAGGTTATCTCTGAGTCAGAGGAAGAGGAGAGGCTTGAATGCAGGGTCTTGGGGAACCTGTGCCAAGGAAGACGGAGGAGGCTGCGGCAGGGCTGGGCTGGCAGCTGGGTGGGCTCTGTCAGGGCCATCTCTGCTCTAATGAGGGCCTTGTCCTCTCCACTGGAGAGAAACAGGAACAGGTGAGTGGTGTAAGGCAGTCCAGGAGGAGGTCCAGGCTGGGAGATAAGGCTGAGGGTGTTCAGACCAGGAGTGGGGGCCTCCTGACCCTGGGTAACCTTGGAGTCCAAGATGGCAGATGGGGCGGGAGCCACTCCCACCTCCTCGGTGTCTGTCATTAGAAGGCATGGTGAGGAGGCGCCCATCTTTAACCTCCTCCCCGGCCCCAGCCTGAGAGGGACCCCTGCACCGGGGCCTGGCTCTCCTTCCCCATCTCGCTGGCCCCCAAACATACCAGGGGTGCACTGACCTGAGAAGAGCAGGATTACCTAGGGGGCAGTCCCCCGCCCCCGCCACATTCCTCCCCCCAAGGGGGGGGGGCGCCCAATGCAATGGACTTTGAAGTGGATCTCAAAGTCAGTGGTCAGTAGCCCCGAACCCCTGGGGTGCAGAATCCCTCCCCTGTCATCGTCCCAGGCTGGTGGCTGAAGTCTGAGCTGTGTGGACAATAGGGCCCCAAGCCTGACAAGGGCGCTCCTGCCTTTGTAAGATCAAAGCTGCAGCCTGGGCTGTGTGATCCCCGGCCAGGAGGTGGGGGCGGAGGGGGGAGTCAGCCAGGACTCTAACGAAGGAGGAAGCCCCTGTACCCAGGCGGCTCTTAGGGAGGCAACCCCTTTTCAGAGGTCCCTAGCCTAGGTTCAAAGGCCGGTGAGGGCTGAGAGGTTGGCAACGGATGGGGAAGCGACTAGACCAGAACGCTGGGGCTTCCTGTTGATGGAGGGGGCCCAGGACCACTGCCGGCTCCCCACCCCTCTTCCTCACCCAAGTCTGAGCTTCCCAAAGTCCCACAGAAGCCCCCACCCCATGTGGGACGTAAGGTACGTAGAGCCGAGAAGGAGTCGAGGCACTGAGGCAGGGGGGCCACAGCTCAGCACCCCTCCTGAGACACCAGGCAGCTCCTGCTCCAAGGTCCGTCACTGCCTGCCCCGCCCCCACCCCGCCCCCTCCGCCAAGCCCCGGCCCGCCGCGTTGCCCCAGATGCCAGGGCCCCCTTCAAGGGAACTTCTTTCCCACTAAACTCGGCTGAAGATCCTGGCTCATGAGAAAACTAGGGGTCCATTCAGACACCGTCTCTTTTCTTCCCATCTCTTCTTAGGGGTGGAGGGGGGCTCAACAGGACCCCACCTCTCCCCTCTGCCCCCACAAGTTTCTCCCTCATGGGCCCCTTTGCAATTCGTTTCTCAGCCCTGGCGCTTCAACCCGCCCTGCTCCGGCCGCCACACAAACACTCACAATAATTTAGGGGCGTCTGCACTCTATGTTGGAAGAAGGGTCTTTGGTCTGCTTCGAAATTAAGTTTGCAGCAGCCTGCGAGAAAAACAGAAAAAAGGAATGAGACAGAGGATCTGCAGCCACCACCTGAATACGAGAAGCAAACCCTCTTTCTGGGGACACCGCGCGCAACGCCGATGCGCGTCCCTCCAGCACTCCGAGGCGGTCTCCGCCGCCCGCCCTCAACCCTAGGCCATCCCAGGGGCCGAGGCGAGCGGGCCGCTCAGTGGTCTGCGCCCAAATGACCCAAAGTCAGGAATCCAGGCGCCCACCGTAGTGGTGTGGCTCAAGCACCTTGCGATGTCGCTAGCCTGTCCCCAAACCAGAGAGCGCGTGGAATCGGGCGGGGCAGAGGGGGAGAGGACGCGGAGTCGGTGAGGGGGGCTCTGGCGTAGAGCGGGGAGGAGGGGGAAGCGGTGTATTTCTGGACCAGGGAAGGGGAGGCTCCGCCAGGGGGAGGAGCCGCTACCCGCGTCCCGCGGCCGGGCCCCCCCCCCGCCCCCCGTCGCGGCTCCGCTATAAAACCCTGGCCGGCATGATCGCAGCACCCCCGGCGGCCTCCTCGGTGTGCGACCCCTGGTTTGGTCTTTGCTTCTGCGCAGGATGCGGCTGCTGCTGGCGCTCCTGGCCCTCGTCGGGTACCGGTCCTCCGCCCGCGCAGGTGAACGCCTGGGCTTCGGCCCCCTGCCCCTCGGGTGGCCGGCTCTGCGCCCCCAGCCCGGCGCCCCCGGCCCAGGGTGCGCCCGCCCGGCACCAGTGCGCGCCGGCTGCGCGCCTGTCCGGGGTTGCGTGTGCGCCCGGGGCGCAGAGGCTGCGGGCGGACTGGGCGAGAGCGATCTCGTGTGCGCACACGAACGGCCACGTGCGGTGCGGGGAAAGCGTGTGCACGCGTGTGCGCGGCGGCCCTAAGGAGACGAGCCTGAGGGTCCATGAGAAGGATGCTTCTCTGACTCTCCCCGACGCACGCCTCCGTTTCTCGTCCTTTCGGCGTCTCAAGCGGCTTTGGTCCTCCCCATTTTGTCCCCCGGTCGCTGTCCGCCTGGCCGGGGCTGGGTGCAGGGTGGTTGCGCTCCTCCGCCCAGAGCAAGGGCAACACATTGGGGGGGGGGGCCTGGCATCCCCGCTCCCACTCTGGGTTCCTTATCACTGGGGGCTGCACCTCCCTTCACCTTCCCGCCAAACCCCCAGCGCTGTGTTGGGAGCCTGGCTGGGGGCACCTGGAGACCCGAGGTCCCGGGTTGAGCCAGTCTTTCCGGCCAGAGTGATTTTCCTTTAAAGATTAATGGTGAGGCGCAGCTCTTAATTATTCTCCTAGGTGGGAGGTAGCAGGAGAGACGTGTTAATGTTTGATAAGGAACTGAAGGTGCTTCCAGCGGCCGGGCACAGGGATCCGGGGCGCACCTTTCCCGAGACCGCAGGAAACTCCCATCTGCCAGCCCCGAGCCCAGCTGCCCTCCCACGGTCCTTCGGGTCCGTCTGACCCAACCGTCTCCAAAGCCACATGCTCCCCGACTGGAGTCATGGAGTGAGCGGCGAGGGGGCCTCGGCAGCAGAGGAGAGAGTGGGTGGCGCCTGCAGGACGGACTGAGCTGGCCGGCGGGGTGCGGGGAGGGCTGGGTGAGGGGTCTGGCCGCACCTCGCGGGAGAGGAGGAGAGAGAAAAGGCAATGAAGGGTTCAGAAGGGTCTCCCCAAGTGTGCCACGTTGGTTTGTGAGTTATTTTGAGCTGAAGGCAATCAAGACTTTTACCTCTCCCTTAAAGAATTTAAACTGGGGACCTTGCCAATCGTAAGAGTTATTGGCATGATTAACTTTTTATGACCTATCTCCCCTCTGAAGCCCCAGGCGCCTCACCTCACCCTTCGCTCAGAATGCCGTATGTCCGTCCTTTTTCCTTCCTGTCCCCGACCCCGCTGCTTGTGGGGTTCCCGCCCACACTCATTAAATGTGGTCGTTTGCTCTTGTGCATCTGCCTCATGTCTGTTTGATTCTTAAGACAGCCAAAAGATCTTAGAAGGGTAGAGGGACGTTTCTCCCTCCCCCACAGTAGGACGTGAAAATGTGTATTTTTCGAGTTGGACGTTTGAAACCTGCGTCAGCGGCTGGGCTGAGTAGAAAGAGAAAAGCCTTGCAATTCGTCCGGCTGGTGTGTCGCTGTGCGGCCTTGGGCACGTCCCGCTCCGGTCTCTCATGGACAGAACAGGGGTCGTAGTGAGCTTCAGGTGCTTCGGGTGCTGTTTTCAGGATCCGCATCAGACAGTGATGTCAGCGCTTCAGTGCGATGTCTCTGTGACACGCGGCAGGCGCTTCATGCGAGGTGGCCCTGACGGCTCTACCGCTGGCCTGGGGCCAGCCAGCCAGGGAAACTGAGGCTGGGGAATGGCCAGGCTGCCCGCTGAGGTCCCTGGAGCATCGGATGCCGTGGAGCGGGGTGGGGAGAGGATACAGGGCTCCTTCTGGCCAGGACTCCCCGAGACTTTGCCCAGGACATATTTGGCTTTTGCTGAGCTGGTTTTCAGGATTTTTTCCTGCCCCTAGAGTGGGAGGGTGGGGTGAGCAAGGTCCATCAGAAAGAAATTCTTCAGTCATGTCTAAAGAGCGGGGGAGGAGAGAAAGCCAGGGTGGGGAGCAGTGGCTGGGGGTCAGCAGTGGCTGTCGGGTCTCACTCCGTTTCTGGCTGGGGCAGGTGGACCCACTGGAGCCGGGAGCCTGGGGCCGGGGCGCTGCTCTCTTTCCCAGGCCCTCAAGGGGGGCGGGGGGCAAGACAGAGGGCTGGCGATCACCTGCGAGGGCAGCCCTCTCTCACGAACAATGACAGGAACCTGAGCTGGTGTGTGACCTGCCACCTCTTGCCTGAGAGCCTGCGCTCTATCCTCAGCCCACAGAGACCTGCCCCCTGGCCTTGGCCTCATCAACACTGTGTTTTCCTGCCTCCTGAAGAGGGTAGTTACAAGAGCATTCGCCCAAGCAGGTCAAAAGTCTCTATGATTATGGCAGTGGATCAGAGGTTACCATTACAAATGCAGGAGCCATCGCTGGCAGGAAAGAGTAAATTCCTGAGAAAAGCTCAGCCTGAACCACATAATCCCTGGGGGAGGCTCGGAGGGTTCCACCCGTCGCAGCTGGCTCCCTCAGACTCGGGTTTAAGTAAGGCTTCCCCTGGAGTGGCCTCCCCTTGCGTCTCCAATCCAGGCTGACCTTGGGGGCCCCTTCTTCCTTCCGGACCTCTGAGAGGGATAGACGCAGGAGGGTTGTAACAAGGAGGCTTTCACGGGAGCAGGGGGCCTCTCGTCCACCATCTCCTCGGACACCACCAGCTCCTTCTGCCTGAGGGAGAAGGTGGGGCTCAGAAAAGGCAGCGACTGTGCAAGGGCAGAGCTAGGATGGGAACCCGGTGAATTAGCACCAGCTCCAGAGCCCCTTCCACCTGCGGAGGAAGTGGCCACTGTCCCTTGCAGAGTGGACCCACCCGTAGGGCGGTTCCCAGATGCAGAGTCCTGGGGCAGCAGAGCCCTGCCCAGCGGGTGGGCTGTCATGGAGAAGACATGCGGGGACTGTCCATCTCTGAAGGAGGCTGTGCCGGCAGGGTGGGTGAAGCATCTGATCCCGAGCTGGGAAACTCAAACACCCAAAGTGGCTCTGAGGGTGTCCACATGTTCTCCTTAAGGGTGTGGGTGCTCGCCTCTGGCCTCAAATCCTCCCACCCCCTGCTGAGGTCCTGACCTTCTCACGGCTCCCTCCCCACCCTGTCCGCATTCCAGGAACCCCAGTGGAGGTGGCATGGGATGCGTGCAGCCCAGGCACGAAGGTGGAGGGAAGGCGTGTGAGCTCAGAAGTCTGAGCTCAGGCTGAGGGGGAAGCTGTGCTTTTCTTAGGAATTTCCTCATCCCTGAATTCTTTCCAACGTGGCTTTGGCCATCTGTGCACTGCCAGGAGAGCAGAGGGAGCAAGGCAACAGGAAGGAAGGGCTCCTCAGGGACTTGAAGTTCCAGGCTACCTGGAACACTCCTCCCATCTCATTTGGTCCCCGTGCCCACAGCCCTCAAATGAGGTGGGTGGTGTTGGTACCATTTTACAGATGGTAAAACTGAGATTTGGATAGACTAAGTGACTTGACCAGAATTCCAGCTCTGGATCAAATGCATTGTCCACTCTGCTTCTCCAGCCTTTAAAAAAGAAAATCAATAGACTTTAATTAGGGCCGGTTTAGGTTTACAGGAAAGCTGAGTGCAAAGCTGAGCAGAAGGCAGCGGCTCCCATGTCCCCCTCTGCCCTGCCCCGTCTCCCCCATTGTCACCGTCTTGCATCAGTGTGGTAGGTTTGGGGTGCGGCCTCTACTTCCAAGATGCTGGTTCTACTTCGAGGCAGAGCCAGGATTAGAACCTGAGTCTGTCTGGTCCCAAACACCAGGACTGTGGGGTGGTGGGACTGGGGAGAGGGCTTGGCGGCCTTCCTTGCTGTGGGGCTGGGAAAGTTTAGCCAAGAATGGGTCTTAATAACGTGAGAGGGAGGGGCCAACCCACTCTCCATCACCCCCCTGACCAGCTCCAGGAAGGCAGCCAAGCTGAACCTGGCTCTGCAGTCCCCAGAGGGGAGGCCAGGCCCGAACCCTCCTCCTCCCCTCTCACCACGGCCTCCCTTCCAGGTGTGGGTTGAAGGAGGGAGCAGGAGGATGATGAGCAACAAATTGGGAGTGTGGAGGCCAGAGCCTGGGGTGGTCTCAGAGGAGCCCCTCAAGGGCTGGCAGCTGCTTTGCCCTGCGTGAGGATCTGTGCACTGGCCAGGATGACCAATGGATGAGTCACAGGCCAGGGACCCACAGCCTGCCTGCTTGCATGGCCTCCCTCCCCACCCACATGTTCTCCTTAAGTGTCCTCTCCCAGACCCCAGCAACACCCCACCCCAACCCCAGGGGGGCTCTGACTTCAGGGGGCTTCGCAACCTCCGACCTACCGTGTGCACACACCCATCCAGTATGTGTGTGAGCTCAGAGGCCGGAGCTCAGGCTGAATGCACGCTTCTCGTGAGCTGGTGGAGGCGTATGTGGGCACAAATGCACGGACACACGTCCGCACAGGCCTCACATCCTTCCTCTCTCTACTCCAGAGTCACACTGGTGCTACGAGACTCAGGCCAAGGCCTCCAGCAACTGCCTGGGTGAGTACAGCGCATCTGGAGACAGGCCTTTCTGCGTGGGGCGGGGGCGCGCAGGATGAAATGGAGACACAAGGAGGGTGGGAAGGATGAGGGATAAGGGTGTCCCACCATCACATCAGCTCTTCACACGCACGCACACACACACACACACACACACACACACACTGCTGGCGCTCAGGGCAGAGAATGTGGAGTGACCCGAGCCTTCCCTGGCACCACCATCACTGTCACCAAGAGGGCGAGTGAGTCCCCTATGAAATGTCATGAGCAGCACCAAATGGCGAGATACACTTTGCTCTTTCTCATTACAAAATGGACACTTGGACCCTGGCTGGTGTGGCTCAGTGTGTTGGAGCATCGTCCCATGGACCGAAAGGTCATTGGTTCTATTCCTGGTTGGGACACACGCCTAGGTTGTGGGTTCGATTCCTGGCTGGAGTGCACACGACAAGGGAACCTATTGACGTTTCTCTCTTGCATCGATGTTCTTCTCTCTCTTGCTTTCTCTCTTTTTCTCCCTTCTTCTCTCTCTAAAATCAGTGGGGGAAATGTACTTGGGTGAGGATTAAAAAAAAAAAAGGAGACTTGGTCCTGTTTGCTAGAGAACCCGGGAGGGATCCTTATCACTTTCTATTTAAAAGCTGACGAATTTCTCAATTTCCCCGAAGTTTGCTCTCTTCCTGCCTCTGCCAGCGCAGGTGACCCGCCCCCAAGCCCCGCCCCGAGGTTGGGGGAACCAGGCTTCCCTCCTCCTGGGGCACTTCCCCGCTGCAGCCTGGCATTGCTCAGTGTCCAGTCAGCGTGCCCTTTCACAAGCAGCCCTTCCAGGAAACTCCACTCCACCCCGGCTCTCCCACTCGCCTTCTCTGAACTTCATTACACGGGTTACAAAGCAAATTATATCACCGCATTTCTCCCCTCACAGCCCAGCATCCTGGGGCTGTCCCCTCTCTCAGAGCTCACAGCCAGCAACTAGCCACCCTGTTCCCGCTCTGCCATCACTGCCAGACATCACTGCTGTTTTTGCACACACACACGTGTGTGTGTGTGTGTGTGTGTGTGTGTGTGTGTGTGTGTGTGCAGGAAGACTCCTGCAACATGGCCTGCCAGCCATCCCAGGACCCTGCCGCCTGTGAGTGGGGGGCAGGTCTGACCTCCGTGGAGTGGAGGAGGCCGCACCCTTGCGCCAGGCCCCCCTGACTGGGCCGCTCCCCCTCAGGGCCTGACCAGTGGGGTGGAGACTGCAGGAAGACCCGCCAGTCCCCCATCAACATCGTCACCACCAAGGCACAGGTGGACAAAACCCTGGGCTGCTTCTCCTTCTCCGGCTATGACAAGAAGCAAAAGTGGGCCGTCCAAAACAACGGGCACTCAGGTGGGTCCCAGGTGGGTGGGATGGAGGACCTGGGCAGGCACGGGGTGGCGGGAGGGGGGGGGTGGCGGGGGGGGGGCGGGTGCAGAGTTCCCTGAGCACTGGGAGGGCACACAAGCCCAGGTGCACCTTTGCTGAGGGGAAGCTGGAAAGCCCGGTGCGGGGAGGGTAGGGGGAAGAGGAAGGGCTCAGAAAACAGAGAATACACCAGCAGGATTTTCAGTACTTTCTTCAGACCAGTCTGGATGTCCTAGGATGATGGAGCAATGATGTGCAAAGGTGTGGCGCATGAAACAGGTTGGGGCGTTCAGGGAGCCGCAGATGGCTCTGTGTAGGTGGAGAACAGAGAGGGAAGCTGGGAGGGGCCACGCCAGCCCAGGGGCAGATCACTGAGGGCTGAGGGGTGGGACGTTCCCCTGAAAACACCAGGGCACCAGAGAGGGGTTGGAGCAAGGGAGGGGCAGAGGGGATATGCAGAGGGAAGCAGGTGGGAGGCCAGCAAGGGGCCAGGGCAAGATCTGGGGCCGAAAGACCCACCAGGTCCCCTCCCTCCAGGTCTAGGCCCACAGCCCAGGAAGGGTGGGAGGTAGGAGAGGTCTTGCCTGGGTGGAGCTGGGAAGAGAGGCTGGAAGAGGCGAGGGGAGGTGGGTTCGAGGACGCTGCCCCCTCCTGCGCCCTTCAGTGATGGTGTTGCTGGGGAACGAGGCCACCGTCGCTGGAGGAGGCCTGGCGGCCCGGTACCGGGCCAAGCAGCTGCACCTGCACTGGTCCAGGGAGGTGGATGCGGGCTCGGAGCACAGCCTGGATGGGGAGCGCTTTGCCATGGAGGTGAGTGGTGGCCCCTCCTGGGCTAGTGCCTTGGCCCTGAATGTACCTGCCTTAGGCAAGAAGGGTGGTCCAGCTTGCCCCCAAGTTCTGTCTCCATCTCTCTCACCCCTCACCAGATGCACATAGTACACGAGAAAGAGAACTCGAAAGAGGCCCAGGACTCCAAAGACGAGATTGCAGTGCTGGCCTTCCTGGTGGAGGTAGGACCCCCCATCCCCAGAGTCTGAGGGGCTGTTTCTTAGGATCCAGAGACCCGGGATTCCAGGAAGACAAGGGGGCCTGGGGAGGCCCTGCCTTCTATTCCTCAGTGGCTTGTGCACCCCCGGGTGAGGTGCTCAGAGCCTCTCAGGGTCTCAGTCGCAGCAGCTGCCTGCCCTCCCCACCCCAGACCAGGGGAATGAACGGGTGGGTAGTCACCACCAGCTCCCCACAAGCCCCTCTCAAGCCCCCTTCCCCCCTGTTCCAGGCTGGACCCAGGAATGACGGCTTCCAGCCCCTGGTGGAGGTGCTGTCTGCTATTCCCAGACCCAGTGAGTCAGGATGACCAGGATGGGGGTTGTGGGGGGTGGGGGAGGGGAATGGGAGGGATGGAGACTCCTTCCTACAAAGGGGGCTCGGCTCTCAGCGTGAGGTGTGTGAGGGGGATCAGTGTCTCAGAGACCCCCCTGAAAGTATCTTTGATCACCCTCTACCAGTGATGAACACCACAATGAAAAAGAGCATCAGCCTGTTAGACCTGCTCCCTGAGAAGGAGAAACTGAGGCACTACTTCCGCTACCTGGGTTCGCTCACCACGCCAAGCTGTGACGAGAAGGTTGTCTGGACGGTGTTTGAGGAACCCATTCAGCTCCACCAGGACCAGGTACACAGGGCCCGGCCGAGACGGCAGCCTCCCAGCGCCCAGCTCCCCAGAAACTGTCCCTCTGGACCCCCAGAGGCCCCTGGGTTGGGGGCATCCCAGGGAGCTGAGGGCCTATTGGTTAAATCCACAGACACCCGTGTAGGAGACAGACAGGAAGGGCCCCAGCTGTCCTGTCTATGGGGTAAGGGCTGGAGGGGAGGCCATGGCAGGGGTGTCAGGAAAGGGCTTCCAGGCTGCACCCTGAAAAGTAGGTGGGAGTCGGCCGGCGGAGGGCAGGGGGCACGTGTCCTGAGGAGAGGTGTCTGTGTAGAGGGCCTGGGCTGGCCAGGGGCAGCGAGAGAGGGTCAGTGCAGCCCCCACAGGGGAACAGGTCATTCAGTGCTTGTGTGGTCCTGGAGTCCCCGTAACACACGAGACTCGGGGTGCAGCAGTGAGTCAAAAGGGCCCCCGTCCCTGTCCTCGTGGTGTTTTGTCCCAGGACAGTGATCCTCAGAGAGTGATTCCTGGGACCCGTGGCATCAAATCATCTGGGAATTTGCTGGACAAATTCTTGGGCTTCACCCCAGACCTACTGAATCCGAAACTCTGGGGGAGGCCTGGCAGACTGGGGCCCGACGAGCCCCCCGGGTGGCACGCATGCACGCTCACGTCTGAGATCCGCTGTTCTGTAGTGGTGATAACGTTAGTGGTAATCATAAGCCCCCCAAGCCGTCCGCTTGGCCAAGGGAAGCTAACGGGCATTGAGTGCCCACCAATGCCCAGCACTTTACATCTTTCATTCACCCACACCGACACCTGAGAGGTGGGGATTCTGAGCCCGGTCACTAATGAGGACTTAGAGAGGCAAGGTGACCGGCCTGGGGTCACACAGCAGGGAGCACAGCTCTGCTGCAGACCCCCAGCCTAGCGAGCCCTGTCCCTCTGCAGATCCTTGCGTTCTCTGAGAAGCTGTACTACGACGATCAGCAGAAGCTGAGCATGACGGACAATGTCAGGCCCCTCCAGCGCCGAGGCCAGCGCCCAGTGTTCAGGTCCCGGGCCCCAGGCCGGCTGCTGCCCTTGCCGCTGCCCGCTCTGCTGGCACCCACACTCAGCTGCCTGGTGGCTGGCTTCCTCCGCTGATGGCTCACAGTTGGACACTTGACCTCTGACCTCAGCCCTGAGACGGCTGGGCGTCCCTTCCTCAGGCTTCCCAGATTGGACTTTGGTGATGATGGAAAGATGGATATATTTTTGGAGAAACCTTTCTTGCATCTGCTTTTAGTTTCCACGACTACCCCTGCCTGTTTCCCCCAGCTCATCCCAGTTCCAGGGCAGGGGCCTTGGGGCTGCAGGTTCTTTGGAACAGGGACTGCGAGTCACCTGCCCCCACCTTTGTGAGCTCCCTGTCTACACCCCACTGGGAGAGACTCGGAAGGCACCTTGGAGCTCCAGCGCAGCAGCGACAGCAGAGAGGCCGGGCGGAGGCCAACAGAAGAGCGGCCACGGCAGAGTCCACTGAGACACTAGCCAGCACTTTCTCCTCTGTCCTAGGCTGGAGAGTGCAGGGGGGGCGGGTGCAGCCTGGACGATGTGGGTGGCGAGGAGTTCATTTGTTTGCTGAAATGTATCTTGAGTGTCTATGTTCTAGACACGGGCTGTGACAAAAATGCCTGCCCTCCTGAATTCACAGTCTAGTAGGGAGACATTATAAATAAAATAGACACATTATACGATGTTTCAGGCGTCAGTAGGTGCTCTGCAAAAAGCTCAGTCAGAAAGGGAAGGTGGGCAGGGAAGACCTCCATGGGGACGTGCCATCCGGGAGACTTGAAGGCGGCCAGGGAGGAGGCACCAGAGCCATCCGGCCTTCAGCCTGCAGCAGGAGGAGGAGAAAAGGGGGAGGGGGGAGGAAGAGGCAGTGTGTGGGGGTGAGGGCACCCTCGAAGTAGGATCTTGTGAGGATGCTGGTCTTGGGCACGAGAGACCAGGAGCCCCCACAGGGTCTTTGCTTTGTGGAGCAGAGGCTGCAGGGTGGGGGAGCAAGGGGTGCAGTTAGGAGGCTGCTGACGGGTCAGAGACAGGACATTCGGGGAAGAGGAGGAAGAGGTGACCCCGAGGCTCTCTGGCCCCAGCACTAGGGAGCTGTCTGTGCAGCCCCGCCAGCACCGCCCCCTGCCCCGGGCTGTGTCTCTGACGGCTTTTGCCTCTGAGGCCCAAAGGGAGTGCAATGAGGAGGGGCAGTGTGGGAAGCAGAGGGTTGGGAACCAAGGGAAAGGAAAAGAGGGGCTCCACGGGTGGGCCCCAAGCCAGGCCAGGTGCCCGGTGCCCAGTGCCAGGGACTGAGGGGCCCAGGCCCTGAGGCCTCCTCCTTCGGAGCAGGACTGTGTTTTGGAGGAGCGTGAGCCTTGAGACGCAGGGGAAGGCGACAAGAATGGGCCTTGCTGGGAGGAGAGGTGCCTCCCCGCCCCCACCGAGGCCCAGGACCAGGGTGCTTCAGGGACGCCCTCCCTCACAAGCTCCGTGGTCTGCAGTGGGTGGCACACCGGGACTCCGTTACCCCGGGTGAGAAGCCCCGGCTTGTTGCGGTCTTGGGGGGGAGCTGGTCAGAGGAGGTGACCCCTAAGCCTTCTCCCACCCTGGTTCCCTCAGAGACCCTGGCCACCCCCCAGCTAAGCCTGGGAAGAGGGAGAAAGGGCTGCTCCCCTCCATATGAGCTTCCCCTCCCTTTCCCCCTTCGTGACCAAGAATAAGCAGCCCCTCCTTTTACTGGTGACCACACAGCAGTGGGTGGCCGGTGAGGGAGATTGGTATTGCTGTCACCATGGCAACAGCAGGCAGCCTGTGTCAGCAGGGGGTATGTGGACACTGAACCTGTTCTCTTTGGTTCCCACGCAGCCTGCAAGGGATCTAAGATCCAAGTGCCCCCCCCGCCCCCCGCCCCGCCACCAGCTTGAGGCTCTCAGAAGTCCCAACAACCCCTCTCCTCCACTACACCCCACCTCCCATCCAGTCCCTGCCCTCAAGGCAACGTTCAGTGACTTTCGGGGCAGCAGAACCAGGAAGTCCCAGCTCTTTGCAGGAGTCTAGAGGAGCCTTGGCCTCTCCGACCCCGACCCCGGGCAGAAGGCACACGGCCCTTCTCCACCCCCGACCCTACAACGACAATAATGAACCTGGCCAGTGGGGGCCAGAATGAGCACAGCTTGTCCAGGGCCCAGGGCTCAAGCCTCCTCCCAGCATTCCACCCGCCCCCCTGCACCTGGAGGCTGGGGCAGGTGCTGTCAGCAGGCCACTCAAAGCAAGGTCATTCCTGGCCAGTCACCTCAGGGGTGTGCAGCCACCCCCCTGGAACTGGCCCCCACACCCAGGAGGCTGAGGCTGTTGGGCAATCCCTCTTGCTACACACACACACACACACACACACACACACACATGTTCCTGACAGCCTCCCCTTCCAAGTAAATTCACTCCCTCCGTGAGGCCCCCCTACTCCCCGCAGCCCACCTCGGGCTCCTGGCACAGCTCTCTGAGGTGGTAGTGGGCTACCTGTGGCCCCCTTATTCAGAAAGAGGGCCCACCCACCCGCAGTCACTTCTCTGCCCCTCCTTGGCTCCCGAGACCAGCTTTCTCCTTTGGCAGTTACCCGAGGGGCAAGGTGGGGTCTGCAGCGCCCTGTCCCACCCTGTCTCCACGGGCTGCTCTGTGTCCCCAACGGGCCGTCTCTCGGGCCCCCTGTTTAGATTTGGCATCTGGGTGGGAACCAGGGCCTAAAAATACTCCCCGCGTGTTTAGATGATTCTTGGAAAATAAACTTCCCCATCTTGGCTCTTGGTTTGCACACTTGCTGGCCCTGCTTCCTGTGGCCCTGATCTGACCGTGGGGGGACAGGGGAGGGATGTAAGGGGGAGTAGGAGGGTGCAGAGGGGCCCAGGGGCACGGGTGGCGGTGGTGGTGGCACACGCACACACACGCACCTGTGAAAGCGGCTGGGTCACAGAACTTCAGGGGTGCCTGTGCTGAGACCACACTGTGACTGGTGCCCGTGCGTGGCGTGACCCGAGGCTCTGTGCTTTATATGTAGGTGACGGGTGGGCAGAGGCAGGGAAGCAGGTGGCCTTGCGTCTGGCTGGGCCTGGCTGTCGCCGGTCTCGGCTGGCAACCCAGGGAGGAAGTCCAGGCCTCTCTCCACGGGCGGGGCGCTGCTCCCTCACCTTGCGCTGCACACTTCAGCCGGCTCTGTTTGTTTATCTGAGGAGGCACAAAGGCATTATCTCCTCTAGAGACCGAGGACTTGTCCCAGGGCCCCGGCGCCCGCCCAGGGAGGGGCTTCCTTTGCAGGAGAGCTACAGGACAGAGAAGTTATAAGCCAGTTCCTTCCTCAGAGTCCTAGCCCCAGCTGAGGCTGGACACGTAGGAGAAGGCTCTTCATATTCCAAGTGTTGGCTACTAAAAGGCCTGGGAGGACAGGAAGAGGGACAGGGGACAGGGAAGGGAGCTGTGTACATTTTGGAACAAGATTTAGTCTTTTAACAAACACTATTATTTCCTCTGTGTCAGGGACTGAGGATTCAGGGCAAAAAAAAAAATCTGTGCCCTTCCTCCAAGACTCCTGACCAAAAGGCAGATACAGGGCACCGGTACCAGGTCCACGAAATACACACTGTCAGAGAGGCACAGACACACCCGAGCGTGGGCCAGGGCCACGCAGGTCTGGGTCTGAGTGCTCTTCCACTGCTGACAAGCTAGCGAGGTGCCTTTGGTACTGCAGTTCACCCGAGCCTCAGTTTCCTCATCTGTAAAGTGGGGATGATGGCGGCAGCTACCTCATAGAATTGCTGCAAAGATGAAACAAGATGCCTGGCCAAGGGCATGTCTTCAATAATTTGTAGTTATCGTTGTGATTCTTTCTATTAGAGAGAGCATGGAAGGATGGGTAGGACCTACACATGGGAGAAACTGGCCTCCCCCAGGGACGGTAGGGAACAGTGGGTGGGGGCTGGGATTCCAGGCGGCTCGCTGGTCACTTCTGTGGTAAGTAGCAGGTGCAGGTTGGGGTGGCAGCCTTCCTGTGCTAAGAAGAACTGCAAGACCCCTCGTGGGGGGCCGCCCTCTCCTCCCAGACCCTTCCCCTGAGCACTCCACTCCCCAAGCACAGAACAGTCCTCCCAGCCTGACCTTGGCCCAGAGTTGCCTAAGGTCGCGCAGCACAGCAGGGGGAGCAGGGGGCCAGGCTGAGGCCCGGATGCCCTGCAGCTCTTGCGTCCCTGTCCTGTTGGGGTTGTTACAGCTGGGGACCAGTTTCCCTTTTCACTTTTCTCTGGCCCTTCCCCTTCCCCTTCCCAAGCAGCTGCAGAATTCCCCGTGTGCCCTCTGCTGCGTCCCTGTCTCCGTCCCTGGCTCCGTCCCTGGCTGCCTGCCAGGAGGCTTGTCCTGTCTGGATTTGCTGCAGCCTTCCCCTACCCAGCACGCACATGCTCCGCACCCACCTGGGGTTACCAGGTCAATTTGAATTTCAGACCAACAACAGTTTTTAGTGTTAAGGATACCCCCTAAGTTGCATGGTGCGTACTTACACTAAATCATTGTTTGTTGTTTACCTGAAATGGGAATTTCACTGGGTGTCCTGTATTTGTATTTGCTGGGTCTGGTGACCCTCCCCCTATCCCAACCACCTCAGGGAGAGAGACCAAGAGAAAAGCCGGGACAAGACAGGCCAAGACTGCCGCCATTACCTCCTCCTCTCGGCCGCCTCCCTCTCCCTCCAGCCGGCCACACCTTCCAGGAACTGAGAATGAACTGGGGTTTCCCCCCCTGGACAGGTGACTTTGTGGGGAAGGCAGCTGGAGCAGGCCCTCTGCTTGTGGGTCTCCTCCTGTTTTCCAACGTCTTGGGAGAGGCCACTGCCAAGGAAATCTCTTGTTCCTGCTCCCGAGGTCTCTGAATCCCGTGGCCTCACTGAGCGGGAGGTGCAGGGCTCCCTTCCTGCAGCCTGGCTCCTGCCCACCATCCCAGCCCCCTCTCATGGAAGGGACACTTCGGATGGCACCCCACTGCTGCCCCAGGTGGAGTGAGAAGGCTCCCGAAGCCAGGGTTTCATCTCCAGACGGAGGAGAGGCTGGGCGGCGCGGGACCGCCTCAGGGAGCAGGGCAGGAAGAGCGGGGCGCAGACGCCGGCAGGCCCCCGGGTCCTCTCTGTCCAGTTCCTTCCACCTGGCAGTCTCCCTGACCCGTTGCACTACATTTGGACGTCAGATTTGCATGCGTGTTCTGTTATGCCACACCTTCTATGAGGTACTGTGCGTCCATTAGTTCACTTACTCTGAGCTCGGGAACACCAGCTCCCAGGGGAACAGCCTCCTCGGGACAGCCGGGGCTGTCATGTTTTGGTTGCTGCTAATGGTGGGCACTGCGACGCAAAGGCTTGTCCTAGCTGTCCCGCCTTCAGCAGCTGGCCTCTCCTGGGAGAGGAAGCCTCTTCACTCAAGGTCATACTCCTTTCTGCGGAGCCCCAGCCAGCGACTGATCCACGTGGGACTCCAAAGGGCCTCTGCAGCTTCAGCGCCCCCTCTGCAGGGCCAGTCGAGGCCAGCCATGGCCATCCCACTGCTCCCCAGCTCAGGCCTGCTCCCTCTCCCACAGCTGTGGGTCCCGGGCATTCCCTAACACACAGCCTGCGCACCAAACACCGTCAGCTCCCTGGGGGAACCGCCTGCAGGAGTGAGGCATGTGGGCGCCCAGAGGGCAGACAGCCCGTAGTAGGCTCTCCATCAATGCTGGGTTGGGAGCACCCTGAGGCAGGCTGGTCCCAACTCTGCACAAAAAAACAATATGATATTTACTCAGGTAAAAAGCGTTTGACACACTTCCTGTCTTCATCTTCACAACATGCTTTCAGACGGGCATTTCCATTTTCTCCGTTTTCAGTGGGGAGCCGAACGACAGGGGACTCAAGGCTCGTGAGTAGAGGGATTTGGACCCAGACAACCTGGTGCTGACGCCCACCCGCTGATCATCACCACCCTCCGCCATTTTCCTGAAGACAGCTGAGGCTTAGAAAGTAAAGAACTTGCCCCTTGAGAGCCCGCGAGTGGCCTGGGAAGCCTGCAGTCCTGCTGCTTCTCTTGGACCGAGGGCTGCTGGCCCCGGAGGGTTTCGTGGAGGAGCTTGGCTGCAGAAACCGCCAAGCCACCCAGAGATCCTGGGGACACAATCTGTGCTCTAGACCTGTCCCTACCCACCTTGCGGCTCTTCACATGAGGTCCACACACCATTCAAAACCTGGCTTAACAGGGACTCAGAGCTCTGTGAAGCCTTCCTCAGTCTCTGCCCCCCTCCCCTCCTTCCCCACCAAGGCCCCCCGAGGGAGGACTGGAGGATCAGTCACATCCCAAGTCCTCACAGTGTGGAAGTGGCAGGACAGGACTGGCCGCCCCGAGGGGAGGTGGCAGCAAATGTTTGCAGGATGAATGAATAAAAGGAAAAAAATGATAACAAAGCCGGCACCATGCCAGGGCTGGAACTAAATATTTACTTTGTCTGTTGGGCGATCCTGAGGCACGAGCCTGGTTTTCCAAGTTCTATTTATGCCGATCTGTCTTCAGTGGCTGACACAGTCGATCTGGTTTTCTTGCAGCTGGAGCAGCTGTTTCCGCGTGTGGGGCCTGGGTGTACAAGGTACTTAATCCTCAGCTTCCGCTGTGCTCCAGCATCGCGTCCTCCTCAGAGCGCCTGCCTTCTCATCCTGGGGCCTGGCCTGGTGACGCTCTCCACGAGGCTGCAAGTCAAACTGGGTTCCCTCCAGTCCAGCCACGCGGCTGAGCTGAGCCGGGAGATGCGTGGTGCGTGGTAGGACAGACCTGCCTGGGTCTAGTGCCTGAGGGGCCTCTTAGGAGACACCTTTCTTAAGGACAAGGGTTAGGTGTGACGTGCTGGGGCCAAGCGCAGCTTCAGAGTCACAGGGGAAGGAGGACCTGGAGTTCAGTGTGGCCTCTCTCAGTCAGCCCCTGGGATTCACACTGGGGTCAGAGGGAAACGTATTTGGCATATGGAAATGGAAAAAGCAATTTTGTCACTTCTTTGGGAACATTCTAGTGGAGTCTGAGGGACCAGCAAGCAACTCCAACCCTGGTGCCCCGGCTGTGAGGGGAGGCCTGGGAGGCAGGGGTGGGGTTTTATGAGGGGTACCCAGAAAACTGGGTGGGCTTGCCCCGCAGGCACCTTTTGAGATTCTGGAAGCTGAAAGGGCTCATTGAAAACACATCTGAGATACCCTCTGGAGGCTGCTATCAATGTGTAGAGGGACAGTGGGCCTGTGCAGGGGTGAGAGTAGGATCCCATGAAACCTGCGTCATCACGAGGAGTGGCCAGGGCGGCACAGCCGGCAGGCAGCTGATTCACGAGAGGCTGCTATGTGGAATTTGGTGCTGTTTTAAGTTCAGGGATGGGGGCCAGGCTGGCCTGCGCTCCCAGATGAGGAAAGGCTTTCCTCGCAAACTAGCCGTGCACACAGGGTTGCAGACGGGAAGTGTCATCGGGTCTCTGCCGGGGGTGTGCTGCTCACGATGCTGCGTCCGAAGGGGCATTGCCTGGGCAGCGGAGCGGGCCCTGGGTTCCCGCACTGGTTTTCAAATCGGTTAAGAAGTTCAGATTTTCCTCCAAATGTATATCGGTTATTTCCCTAGAATCCAAATTAGGAATTTTCTTTCTATCTGTTTTTCTTTTCCTTTCTCTCTCTCTCTCTTTCTTTCTTATTTTGGATATGGTCAGTTTTTGGATCGAGGCCTCACATTTCCACTATCATCATAAAGGAGAGATGAGCAGACCAAAGTTGGGTTTGTGAAGCTGGGGGAACAACAACAGGCTGCGTCTTGGGGCCTCAGCACCGCCTGGGCTGAAGGGAAGGCAGCCGGGGAGTTGGCCTGCTGCGTGACAGGCCTGTCAGGATGGCCGGATGGACATGTGGTATTTGATTTACAGCCCGGGCTTATGGGTGCAAACACCTGGGTCTAAACAGTCAGACTCAATTGTTGTCCCTCCCTTCCCAGGGAAGGGCAGGAAGGAAAAGGCCTCAGCTTCAGGCAGGAGGCATTGTCCTGGGAGGGGGTGTTAATGACACAGGTAACCCGATAACCCGTTCTGGCGGGGGTGGGGGGGGTGGGGGGGTGCATAGTCCGGAGCAACGGAATCTCCCGGCTGCTGTGCCCGGTAGCTGCCTCCAGAGAACATTTTATTAAGTCCTTGTCTTTCCCACCCTTCCTCTGGGACTGTCACCTCCTTGTTAAATCCCCGATAAGGTACCGTCAGACACTTCAAAGTCCAGTTTGCAGCAAGGCCTTGACCTGACCCAGAGTCTCTCCTTCTGCCCTCTGTAGTTCCACCTCCCCTCCTACTCTTCCCCTCTTCCTTCTGTCCAGCTCCTAAGGTCCCTGGGCCACCAGAGGTGAAGAGAACAAACCTAGGATGCCAGTCACTGTGAAGTCACTGCCTGGCTCTTTGCTCTCGAGTTCCTCATCTTCCAGGGAGAGGACAAGGAGGCTGCTTTCAGGACACCCACTTCCTCTCCTTATGTAACACGACTGCCTTTGCGTTGTGTCATCAGTTACAAAGAGGTTTCACGTTCATGCTCTCACTCAGTGCTTACAGCACTATAAAGCAGTCAAGCGCCCCATGACCCTCACCTCTGGCCAAAGACAGGTCACGGAGGCTCACGGTGACAGAATGTCTTGTCAGGAGTTGCTGGGTTGTGGACTACAGACTCCAGTTCAGGGGCAAGTGCGGTGGTGGAGAAACAGCCAGGTTAACCTTGGTCTGAATCCAACCTGTATCTGTTTGATACTTTGGGCAAGAGACTTAATCTTACTGCGTCTCAGTTTCCTCAGAGAGCTGGGGTGCGCAGTACATAATGAATGGAAAGTGTGTAGTCTGGGGTCTGGCAAATACGTGCCCATTCAATGCCTAAGTGCTCTCTTCAACTTTTTTTTTCAGTTCCAAGTGCAGGACTAACCTTTACGTCACTTAGTCGGTACTGTGGGTGAAAAAGGGGGTGCTGTGGGTGCTGTGATAAATCTAACACAACGGACCTCATAGAGTGATCCGATCATAAATCACTAACTAGCCAGGACGTGGTGAGTAGTCATACCCCAGGCCTATAACTTTTTTTAGTAAAACGTTTACCTTAGCCTTAAACAAGCCCTGTCCATTGTTTTTGTGCATCTAGTGACAGACTTCTGAAATACTGCTTTTTCTTTCTTTCTTTTTTAAGATTTATTTATTTATTTTTAGAGAGGGAAGGGAGGAAGAGAAAGAGAGAGAGAGAAACATCAATGTGCGGTTGCTGGGGGCTGTGGCCTGCAACCCAGGCATGTGCCCTGACTGGGAATCGAACCTGCGATGCTTTGGTTCGCAGCCCACGCTCAATCCACTGAGCTATGCCAGCCAGGTGAAATACTTCTTTTTCATATATTCTTTTGAACTGGTGTTTCAGGATTCTTAGGATATATTCCCAGAAGTGAGATTCCTGGGTCGAAAGGCAGTGCCATTTTTAATTTTTTGAGGCAACGCCATTCCACAGTGGCCGCACCAGTCAGCATTCCCACAGCAGTTCACCAAAGCTGCCTTTTTTGAAATCCTTGCCAGCACTTGTTTGTTGATTTATTAATGATGGCCATTCTGGCAGGTGTGAAGTGATATCTCATTTGCACCTCTCTGCCGATTAGTGATGTTGAACTAATATGTCTATGGGCCATCCGTATGTCCTCTTTGGAGAAGTGTCTATTCAGGTCCTTTGTCCTAATTGGATTGTCTTCCTGGGGTTGAGTCCTATAAGTTCTTTATATATTTTGGAAATTAAACCCTTATCAGATTTATCATTGGCCAATGTGTTTTCCCATACAGTGGGTTCCCTTTTCATTTTGAGGATGGTTTCTTTAGCTGTGCAGAAGCTTTTTAATTTGATGTAGTCCCATTTATTTTTTCCTTCATTTCCCTTGCCCTAGGAGATATATTGCTACACAAGATATCTGAAATTTTTACTGCCTCTGAAATTTTATGTTTTCCTCTCGAGTTTTTATGGTATCACAATTTACATTTAAGTCTTTTATCCATTTTGAAATTATTCTTGTGTATAGTCATAGCAGAATTATCTACAATAGCCAAGATCTGGAAACAGCCTTAGTATTCATCAGTAGATGAGTGGATAAAAAGCTATGGTACATCGTACAATGGAATACTATACAGGGGTTAAAAAGAAGGAACTCTTACCTTCTGCAACAGTATGATGGATCTGGAGAATATTATGCTAAGTGAAATAAGCCAGTCAGTGAAAGATAAATACCATATAATCTCACTTATATGTGGAATTGAATTAACAAAATCAATGAGCAAAATAGAATCAGAGGCACAGAATCGTGGAACAGACTGACAGCTGTAAGAGAGGAGGGGGGAGGTGGCAACTGGTTGAAAGAAGGTGAAGAGATTAGGCAAAGAATGTAGACACAAGACCCGTGGACATGGACAACAGCGAGGGGACTGCCTGAGGGAGTGTGGGGGGCTGGATGGAGAGGGGTAAAGGGGGTCAAAATTGAGACAACTATAACAGCATAAATAATAAAACATAATTTAAAAAATAAACTAAACTGGGGACTTCCGGCAAGATGGAGGAATAGGTGGATGCACCATACCTCCTCGCACAACCAAGATTAGAACAACAATAATTTACAGATGGAATAACGCCCAGACCGATAGAGGATTTATCTGAATGGAAGTTGGACAGCCAAGAAGTTGAAGTAGACCCGTACATCCAGACTGGTAGGAGACGACGAGCCGGGCAGGCGCAGGTTGGCGGCGCGTGGAGGTCGGGGAAAATTTGGCGCGAAATCGGCGCAACAGCCATCCGGGGCGCAAGAACGCAGCGGTGATCCCTGAGTGCGCAAGCTGCGGCTGGCAGACCCTGTGGGGCAGCGATTGTGGACAAGGGCAGAGCTCGCAGCCCAGGATCCCAGAGAAGGGTCTGAGCCCAGGAGAATGGAACACCACCATTGTTCCCTCCCGGCCCCACCTCCCGCCCCCGCCCCCACATATAACGTCACAATCTAGCGACTGGGGTGCCCAGCCCCGGTGAACACCTAAGGCTCCGCCCCCCACTGTAACAAGAGCGACCAGACCGGGAAAAAAAAAAGAAGAGACAGGGAAAGACATGTATCCAACAGAGCAGATCAGTCCCCCAGGACTCATCCTTTTGAGCGACCAAGAAATAGCCAATCTATCAGATACACAGTTCAAAACACTGGTGATCAGAAAGCTCACGGAATTGGTTGATTTTGGGCGCAATTTAAATGAAAGGATGCAGGTTACCATAAAAGAGATGCAGGAAGATACGCGGAGGAGAGCCAATAGTGAAAGGAAGGAATCTGAGTCTCAAAACAATACAGTGGACCAGAAGGAAGATAGAATCAACCAAGCAGGAAAGCATGATGAAATAGGAATTCAAAAAATCGA